TAATGTTAAGTTTTTATTAAGTTATATATTAAAAAAATAGACTAATCTTAACGAGTAATGAGTTTGCAATTTCCGAAGTATTACGTTATAAATTATTTGGTAAATTAGTGATTAAAATAAAAAAAAATTAAAATTCGGATTAGTTAGGGTTAGGGTTCGAGCTAGTATTAGGATTAGGGTTAGAGGGCATATATGTATGCAAAATTAAGAGCTGAAAACTTTTAATTAGAAGCCCAAGACTAGTTTACATAATAAAATTTTAAGATATTTAAGTAGTGTAAATTACATATAGCGCTGCACTGATAGTTAATCATATGATGTGCAACACCCCAATCGTCATATGTTTACATCGTACAGCCAATAGAAAAGGTGGATGAAAATTAATAAATAAATCATGTTTTGGTACAAAACAAAGGTATTCAAATTTTTACCATGTTCAAGTGCAAAATACACAAATATTTCGCAAGAAAGTCATCTAAATGAAATATCATAGACTTTTTGGATGAATGTAAAGAGGAATCGTTTCAATTGAAAATAGATATTTATCTAAATAGTTTAGAGAATATTATCAAAAATTACCAAGGAAGCAAACATGATAAAACACAAAATCTTTTAGTTAGATATAAAAAGGTAGCGTGATATCGAATCTTCTAGTTTCTTTATCATTCAAGTCTTTTAGTCGAGCTACAAAACCAGTATTAGGGCACAGTCAATCTTTTAGTTTGGCTGATGTTCAAGTCTTTTAGTCGACCTGATACTGGTCCCATTGGGGCACAGGCAATCTTTTAGTTTGGCTGTTGTTCAAGTCTTTTAGTCGACCTGATGGGATAATTAATCAGAAGGGATAACTAATCAGATGGGATAACTGATCAGATAGGCAGATAGGATAACTAAATCAGATGGGATAACTGATCAGATAAGAAAATAAAAAATTTATTAAGAAAGTTATTAACCCTTAACTCGTTTTTTTTTTGCAAGGACAACCGACCGGACTATAAACAGGCGAGAGAGTAGGAAAAGAAACAATTAAAAGGGAAGTATATATCTTTAATCGACCATCATTCAACATTTACTGGAATTAGATGATTATGAAAGTCTTTCATCTAACTTATCAACCGTATCGACCGTATCAACTGCTTTAAAAAGCAAAAATAAACATTATTCAAATAACGAATATTATGATAACGAATCTGATGATTTTCATGAAGAATCTTGTGATGTTAAAGATGAAAAACCAAAAATTGATAAAGAAAAATTTATGAAGGTATTCGGCAAAATTCCTGAAAATTCAAAAATGAAATTAGGTAGCGGAAGAATTGTAGAAGATATTTTATTCGAATATTCAAAAGATAAAGTGTATGAAGAGTAAGATATTTAAGATTTTAATTATATTTTCTTTATAGATTATATACAATTCTGATGCATGAATCTGATACATTTATTAGTCTCACATAGTAATGCGGTAGAATCGTCCCAATGATTGTCGTAACTGAGTTTAAATCTTCGTAACTTGCCTTAACTATAGTAAATAATAATAAGTTACGGCATTGTAGCTGTAACTTATTATTATTATTTACTATAGTTACAGCAAGTTACGAAAATTTAAACTCAGTTACGACAATCATTGGGACGATTCTACCGCATCACTAGTCTCACACATTCGTTTATAATCAATTGTAATGATGAAGAAGTAAGGAGTTTATTTTCTATGAATGAATGGGCAGAATTAACAAAAGAAAATCAACTAGAAGATTTTCAAATGCCAGATAAATTAGTGAATTTCATGAGCAATTATAATAAAAGTATATTAAAAGATATCCGGTCTGATATTATGAGATCTTACTTTAAGGAAGGTGAAATCTATGATCCTTCTTTACATTACGACAAGGAATGGCTCCATGGATCAATAAGAACAATAGTAAATTTATGG